TCAAGAGAAAAACATCATTCAGTCCAAGGGCAGATAGGCTGTGTTAACCCACGCTTGGACTCTCCGAGCAGTGCACTGGAGAAAAAAAACATTTTCAGGTTATTATAGGCAGTGAGACAAAAACAAGCAACTCATTTCTTACAGTACATTATATTTTCATCACTGATCTAAATTCAATTTCATTTCACTTTTTGCTTTAAATCTATGCATTTACTTTCAGTTCATAATTCAGAATTCTATTTGTGTAGGTATGCCCATCAGTCCACATATCCCATGCCTGTCTCAAACAGAAGAGATTTAAATATAATTTGACCACTTAGAAAACCCCATTTTACCAATGCATTAAATCATTTTAAGAGACAGCAATAGACATAGTAATTTCTCTCACACATACTGTACACATACACAAATATAAATAAGGACTTGGAAAATATACCTTTTAAAATGACATTAAAAGAATGAATATTTTGAAGTATTGTTTTGGTTTCAGTCCACAGCTGTGGAAAGTAGTGCAAATATCACAATGCCTAATTTGGTTTCCAACAGTAGCTTATGGTGTTTTTTTGGCATATGTTACCACCCTTACAGGATGGTTAGAGGCAAGGGGGGAGCCATTTTGGGGGTATCAAGTTAAACCCGAAGTTGCAAGGCCTGTTGCAAATGGTAAAGCATCTTCTGAAATAAACTTCTACAAGCTTATTTCAGAAGCTGCTAATCTTGCCTCCTCCCCTTATTCCTCTATAAGAAACTAATGACTATTACTAATCAAGTGTGCTGCATAATTTTAGTGAACGTGTGTGATTCCGAACCCAGCAATAATGCTATCTTCCCTAGACCCTCTCCTCAAACAATTTCTGAGTTTTTGTGGAATTCCTTTCACTGCCTACAAAATCAGTGCAGCAGGTTGAGGAGCAACAGAATTGACCTTCTTTTGGTGGGGTTCCCAACTCACACCAGGGGACCATGTAAGCAATTTCCATATGCTGCTTATCCAGAAGTGGAAGAATTGCCGCTAGTTTTTCCTGCCATTCTTTATCATTGATTATAGCTTTCCTTACAGCTGCTCTGTGTGCAAAGTTATCTGTGAATGGAAAAAGAGAGAGTGAACTTCTACAGCCATGTTATATTTGCTTCCATGATAAGTGTACAAAACTATAGAGCAATAAATTAATGTTTAATAAAAAGTTTTAACTTGATATTACTATTAGAGAACAAAACGTTCTCAAATGCAGCCTTGGAATATACAGTCTGCCCCATCCTATTTTCTCTTCAAGAAGCTCACATGCTGTTTTGCTGGGCCATGCACTGTTGCATAATCCCAATACTTATGAAAATTGTGAATTAAACTCCAAATGGTTTCAGCAAATGTCAGGGACTCCAGCTGATGAAAGAGAAAGACTGGGGCCTCCTTTAGCAGTTATAGATTGTGAGCCTTGATGACTCAGAATTTTCCAGGCAGCAATGAAAATGTCCATTACCAACTTTTCTACTGGCAGGCAATTTAATGTGCACTGGCAGGCAGTAGGATGAATACTTTTTTTTCTATTGCTTAGTTAACAAAACAGTGCTTCTAAACTAGCTTCATTAATCCCAGAGGTCCTGAAACCTTTTTGGACCTTGTTATTTGTAACCCTGGGATAGTAACATTGACGTGATTCACTTATCTTTACTACCAGTTTGCAAATGTGAGTGCGCTTGCATGTGCAGAAGGTTGCGCATTACGTCGGGGTGGGTGGGCGGGGCCTCCAGCTGCCACCGCTACCTGTTCACCCAGACTGGCAGAATACCACCACTGGACGGTAACCATATAACCTGGTGACAAACTTCATAGAAATAACTTTTAAAAAGGCACATTCAACCTCTTTGAAACACCACCATGCAATTCATACCGTATTTCCAAATATGAAATGCTTTATTCATTGCCCCAAATTCAGCTGTCCAGAATCCAATCATCGGTGAGTGAACCATACGAATCTTAATATATTTATTGACCAATTCAAGAAACTCCTTTGTCTTTGCTGGCTTAAGGTCATAAGTACGAAGTTCATAGATAGTGCCAACTTCCTGTCTGGGTCCCGTAGCAAAAGATGAACAAGCTTGAAACACATTTGGCTTTAAAGAGACAAAAGTATAAAAATAAATAGTGGAAATGATAGCTTCTAGGTTTGTAATCAGTGAATATATTATTTGATCAGTGAGATACTACTTGGGATTTTTAATAAATAAAATGCTAAAACTTCATTCATGTTTAAGCTTTGCATTTTAACAATACAGGTAGTCCTCGACCTACGACCACAATTGAGCTCCCAATTTATGTTGCTACGTGAAACATTTGTTAAGGGAGTTTGGCCTCATTTTATGACTTTTCTTTCCACAATTGTTAAGTGAATCACTGCAGTTCTTAAGTTAGTAATACAGTTGTTAAGTGAATCTGGATTCCCCATTGGCTTTGCTTGTCAGATGGTCACAAAAGGTTATCACATGATTCTGGGACACTAGAACCATCATAAATATCAATTCCAAGCATCTGAATTTTGATCACATTACTGTGGGGATACCGCAATCCTTGTGTGAAAAACAGTCATAAGCCACTTTTTCCAGTGTAACTTTGAACTGTTGTACGTCGAGGACCAATTGTAATTTATTGGGAGCAAATACAGGTTTCACTGTAAAATAAGTTTCACTTATAATGCTATTCATCTTGAAAATGTGTAGAAAAATCCAAGATAGGGAGAGAGGAAGTAAGAAAAAACTGAGAAAGAGATTATTCAATTAACAATCTGTATCTTTCTAGATCCCAAAATCCATTATAAAGGAGGAGGTATTATGCATGGGAAAATGCTGTGGAAGTTCACAAGGGGGGATTTCTGTAATTAAATATCTGGTTAAGCAACAGCTTCCTGAACCTGAATTGGAAATGGCATTATGGCAAAACATTTTCAGTAGTACACAAGAACTCATAAAAAAGATACAGAAGTGATGGTGCCTGAGGAAATTTTGGCCTACCACTGTGAGTTACAATAGTGTCCTCAATTGTTCCCAGAGAAGACGTTAGCTCCAGATTTTCTTTTATACGTGTCATATTCACAAAGGATGCACTCCCAAAAGTAGATAGTGCTTCAGACTCTGTTCAATCTTTCATTAGAGCAACCTGATTTTTTTCAAGCTTATGCCTAAATCTGGAAAAAAGATGTTGATGCTTTAAGGATTTTTATAAAGCTTGAAATCTCCAAAGCAGCTTTTAAAAACATATTAAGAATCTTCAAAGCAATTCTTAAAGCACTTGCATTTTTCTTCTTCTTTTTTTTGAAGCTCTCAGGAAGACTTGAAAAAAATCAAGCTGTTTTGACAAAGGGCAGAGAGGTGATGCTGCTGTCCAACTCTTTCCGAATACTTTTTTCAAGCCCTAAAATACATACAGAAAATGGCACACATATCAATGAGCTCAGAATCAGAAACAACAATATGCAGAGGGTTTCTATTTGTCAAGACCTAACATTTATGCTTTCAGAAATAGCATGCATAAAGTGACATTAATGTAAGTTATAATTGTAAACATTTATCTAGAAAAAATGTATTGAAATAATTAAGATGTACCTATGAAATGGAGCAATTTTTACATTTAATAAAAGGAAATCTTTATGAATCAGATTCTGGATCAAAACAATCACAGTGAGAAAGGGCTACCCATGAAAATATACTGAATTGCTTCACATGATTAGCTCATGCAGTTTATTGCACAGGTGACAAATTCGATCGTATCACTTGATGTTAGGTGACATATCACAACATTTTTGGTCTTTGCAGAGCCAGGGTGGCTGTGGCCTGTGTCTGATGCATCTGGTCTGTGGGCCTCCAGTTTGATACCCGTTTTATTGAATAAACCAATTTCCTGATCTCATACATTCTGTTGCCATCTCAATGGCCAGCCAGGAACTAATTAGGATCCAGAGACCATAGGCTAAAACCAGGGTGAAATGCTGAAAAGGACTTTAAGAGTATTAAGAGTATTTGAAACAAAAACATATGCCAATCCGTATCTCTTCAACTTGCACAAACTCCGGAAATGGCAGCAGAAGAATGCAGTGGGGGTGTTCATGGGAAATGTAACTACCTTATGGGAAATGTAGTCCCACAACATGTAACCACATCTGTGCTCCCTGATTGGACAGTGGGGTACTCTGCCCGGGAAATTGATTTATTACTGACCACTCACTGAATCGCCTTCGGCTCTACCAGAAGCAGCTTTGCACCAGCGGCATGGATTAGAGGAATTAATGTCTTTTTACTGTTCTGCCCCGGGCAATGAGGTTCTGCTCGGGCAGCCAGTTAACTCCACACTTAGGAATACCTTTCAGATCAC